AATTTTATTATTATTATTAATTGAATCTTATATAACTTTCAATTTACAAAAAAATTATGTTGATGAATCTATATTAATATCGAAGAAAACAATTTGAAACATTTAATATGGAACATTTTATATGAAGATAAAATGACAATTTATTTAAAAATTTATTTAAAAAAAAATTTTAAAAAAAGAAAATATTTTATTTAATTATTCCAGTTTACATTAAAAAAATATATTTTAATATTTTTTGCTTATTAAATATTTACTATTAATTATAAAATGTCTACATTTATTATAAAAAAAAATGTAAAAAAAAAATATTTTATTCAATTATTTCATTTTAAATATTAAAAAAATATTATATTTTAAATAATTTTCAAGTATATTTTATTTATTAACATTTACTATTAATAAGATTTATATTTATTTCGTTAATCGTTTTAATATAATTATAATAATTATAATATCATTTGATAACATATAGATGTATTATACAAATAATTATAATTATATTATCATTACCATAAACATGACATTTTCATGGAAAGTTATTTTTTCAGTGAAAAATCGAGTACTTTGGCTACAATACAATTGAAACCAGAACGACCACGGTCACTGAGTCTTTATTCGGAAGAAGAACAGAAGCTACGTACAAATGAAGTATCAACAGTACCAACACCTGCTTTACCCGATTATCAACCAAGTCCTCTAGTTACTATTTTACGGGAAACAGAAAAAACTGAAAAAAATGTGAAATCCTCACCTTCATGTAGCCAAGAAGTAGCTGGTACCAATCAACACAGTCGATTAGATTTAAAATTCTATCATTCTCCTTTATGGTAAACAATAAAATTGAGACAATGTTAAAATTATATTGAAAATTATATTGTTTTTATGTGCAATAAGATTATAAAGCTTCTCAAAATAAAATATCAGTGAAAAAAAAAAATTTTAAGTTTGATGAAAACTGAAAAAATATAGCACTTAAGATACATTATTAATGAAATTTATATAAAAAAAAAAAGTAAAAAGAAATGTAGATCATAGTTAATAAAAAAGATTTTTTTTCTCTCATTCAATCACAAAATTATTATTGATTATTGTTAATTTATATATAACATTGTACTAAATAAAAAAATAAAGAAATTTTCTATATTCGATTATTTTTATGTAATTATTTTTGTAATTTAAAAAGAAATTATAATAATTAAAAGTTATATTTTCTAAAAATAAAATTTTATATCTGTGATGATGATCATTTTTTGTATTTTTTCGAACTTCAATTGTAGATTTATGTTATATTAAGAAAAAAAAAAACATTATTTATATATTTTACTTTTCTTATTCTGTTACCTATTTTTATTTTCCTGAATACAATATAAAAATAAAATAAAATAATAAAAATATATTGATTGTTTTATTATTGTTATTAAAAAATATTATAAAAAAACAAAATAAAATTATAATGCACGATTAATTTTATTATTTATAATTTTATTATTTATAAAATATGATATTCTATTGTTTGTAAATTTTACAAATCTCAAATTAAAATATTTCTTAAATTAATAATTTTTAAACATACTTAAGTAAATATTACTTAAGTAAGTATTACTTAAAATCATGTGTATACGCATTTACACATACTAAATTTATATTTGCAAAATATTATTATCATATGTTAAGATTTTGGAAAGAAATTTATTAATATATTAACTATTTAATGATTTTAAATTATCTTATTTATTAAAACTTTAAAATTGAAAATAACGACAATATAACTACGATATAACGAAGTTTGTAAATAATGTACAGAAATTATTCATCATTAAGAATTGTACAAGTTGATAATAGAAAAAATAATAGAAAAAATCGAAGAAAAAATCATTTTTTTTTGTCTAGTAATGAGTATTCTATGTTCTTAATATTATTCAAATATTTTTTAAATAAGTATTTATATTTTAAATTAAGTAAAAATAATAAAACAATGAAACATGCAGAACTAGTTATTTATCATTAAAAAAATGAAAAAAGTTACAATAAAATTTCTGAAATAGTTAATAGAAAAAAAAAATATAATACAATTGGATATTTAAAAAAAACTATTTAAGATTTATATAGTATTTTAAGTAATATATAATTAATAAGTAATATAAAGTTATATATTAATAAGTAATATTAAGTAATATAATTAGTAATAATAATAAGTAATATAATATAAATATTAAGTAATATTAAGTAATAAGTAATATATTAAGTATAAAAAATCTTAATAAACATGAGTCAAAAATTGTTTTTGATATAATTATTTTTTGTTTCATATTAATATTATGATTGATTTATTACTGATTTTTAACATCGTATGCGATGTTTATAAATCTTCATAAACTATTTTTTAAATGTTCTCGTACAATTTTTCTGCATTCTTTATAAATACATAGAAATATATCAATTCCCAACCGATAAATGACTTAGTGAAACTGAATCTATATGCTTATTAAATAATTCTGAAAAATCTGAAATTTTCTAGAGAATTCGTGAATCTTTAAAAAAAAGATGCCAAGCATATGGAAATATAAGGACATACGTCTATGGGATAAACTGTAGAAAAAATAGTAAGTCAATTATGATGCCAACATAACAAAATAAATGATTGTATTTCCGAAATGATTAAGTTATCTAGTTTTTTTACTTTATATAAACTTTACTAATATATACTTATCACATATCATATAAATTTTGAATGATTTTTTTGAACAGCCTGTTAAACTAAATAATTAATATAGAAAATTTAATCTCAAACAAATTAAAAAGCAGGTCAAATAAAAAACTGAATATATGAAATAAACGTTGGATTATAAAAATTAAAAATAATTAATATCTTAAAATTGATTGCTAAAAATAAAAAAAATATTATTATTAGTATATATTATTATAATATTAATATTTAAGAATAAAATAAAGAATTTATT